ATAATGGATTTAATTTTAATGCTTCTTCTTCTTTCGGTTTTTCGGATATCACTTCGCAAGGTCTGAAAATAACAAAACATTGTAATTATTTTTATACAATAATATAAGTAATAACAACGAAATAATACTTCGGTCACAGCCAGGAATCAGAAATTAGCGCGCTTATCCTTACGTCTGGATGACATTGACAGATGTCATAGACACGGGACGTCATGTCAATGATCTAGTGTTGCGCTACTCCGGGTACGGTACCGATTTCTTCTTAATACTTAATAATATTATTAATTATTTGAAGTGGTTTTAGGAATACATCAAATAGGAATTTATGACAAATCATTTTTTTAAAGATTTAACCTCCCAATATCACAAAATCTGTTTTTAATTGCATATTAATACCATCTCCAATTACGGTTTAGTAACAATAGCGTAATGTTTTAACATATTATATTGAACAGTTTAATATCTCTTTTAGCAAGTTCAAAACTTTAGTTCTCTTGTCTTTTTTTATCTGATCTTATCTAAGTATCCGTATTTGAACATCTTTTTGTTTGATGTCATTCCAAAACATATCGCTGATAGATTTGTCTATAAGAAATTATCTAATGGTTTAATTTCTATTCTTTTATTCTATTCTAGTCTAGAGATATAATCCAAAAAAAATCTTGTGCAATTTTATTCAAATCTTCTATTTCTAATTATTGTTTGTTAGGATTTTCGTCTTTGTAATTCTTCTTTATTAAATAATTTTACTCTCTGGTTTAGTATTCCAGCATAAGCTCCATATACCATTAGCTTTAGCATTCTTAATAAATTACAGTTATTCAAACTACCACATTCTTTATTCTTTTCAAATATTTTACCTTTCTTTTACTAAGCTCGAGGAAAATTCCTCTTGCGACAGTTTTTGCTCTTTCTCTGATGTTTAGATCCCTCAGTTTTAGATCTGTGATTTCGCGTTTCGTTTGTATCACGATGTATCCTAAAATACCCGTTGGGTGATTCATAAAGTTTTGGATCAGTATGTTTGTCTAAATATGTGCTATAAAATTCCATTAGATTTAATTAATACAAGAATGGTAAAGAAAAACTTATTCTATCATTTAATGAGTATTGGGATGGATTATCAGGTTCAGTCGTAAAATATCTTACCTAGAATATTTAGGTTTCTTCTTACAGCAGAGCACCTTGACAGCGAGTACTGTGAGGAAGAGAGTGACGCCGGCGCACACCGCGCCGCCCCAGTCCAGGACCGCGCGCACAATGCGCAGCTCCGACAGCACCTGCTCCTCCATGTACACCTTCTGCTCCACCCAGAAGATAGGGAACAACATCTTCGGCACCTTCTCGAATAATCTGCAAGATAAAGACGATAAAAGTAAGTAATTCCGCAAGTGGACTCAAGCAGTATATCAATTAGTATACTGTTTCTAACTTACTCTATATTCTGAGTCGGTTCAATCCAGATGTTGAGTTGGAACCTTGCTGATACCTCCAAGGGAACTCCCAATTTCTAGGATAAAAAACATTTTTTGCATTAAATTGACACAATAAGTGATGGAAGAACATATGCGAAGACGAGAAGGGAATGACACTGATAGACATATTCAAGAGATTTAAGGCTAGTAAAAAAAGTTTGCTATGGATTACCGCTGGTTGGTTAATTTGCTTCCCCGTTTTTGATATGAC